AAACAATTGAACCCCCCCCCAAAAAAAGAAAGAAGGAAGGAAAAAAGATGCATAAAAGTTCATTGCAGTGTTTTCTATAATTTTATCTTAAAAAATATAACAAAAATAAAAGAAACATTCTAAATAGTCAATACTAGAAAACAGGTTGGAAAATGTTATATTGACTCAGCATATAGTACTATGTAACCATTTAAAATAATTCACAGAAGGGGCGGGGCACCTGGCCATCTCAGTCAGTAGAGCCCATGTGACTCTTGATATCAGGGTCCTGAGTCTAAGCTCCCCGTTGGGCATGGAGTCAACTTAAAAAAAAAAGAAAAGAAAAGAAATTCACAGGAGTGTTAGGTAATACGGAAATGTTTATGCTATTATGACATGAGCTAAAAGAAAGGATACAAAATTGCATATTTTAATATACCTGCAAACATGTATTATGCATATCAATAAAACTGAAAGAGCACAAGGGGGATTGTGGGTAACTTTTTTCCTTTTTCAAAGTTTTCTTTAATGTTGATGTTGTATTGCCTTTATTGTTTAAAAGACTGAGGTGAGGCAAATGGTATTGGGAGTCCACGCTCCTGACTGAGAATTAAAGGACCTGAGTTATCTTCTTTTTTTCCAACATAGCATGTGTTATTGGCCTTCATAAACCTCAATTTCTCAGTCTGCACAATGGGTTAACATTAGTTTCCTTTACCCCAGATTGACAGAATGTTTATTTTATAAAGCTTTTAACTCACTGAATGTAAGGGTTCACATAAATGTGGTCCTAGGAGAATGAGAGGTGGGAGGGAAAGGAAAAGATAAATAGGCACTAATTAATTTTAAAAGGAAAGATCATCTGCTTTAATCGGAAATGCATGTGTGCTGTGCCCCCAATCAGAGTTTTAAGTGCACTCTATGTTAGTTAGCAACTTCAACGTAAAGTAGTACTGTGTGATCCTTTGGGCTTTGAAGATACGAAGCCTATATACATACACATGAGCTAAAATTACTGTGTAGTCACGAGGCTGTGTGCACTCTGAATAATTAAATGCACTAAGCAACTCCAGCTGATGGATTGACAATGTGTAAGAGCAGTGCAAAAAACCACGTGACTGGGAAATTACAAGACATTTTGAAATGATGGTTTAATTTCCCAGCTTTCTTTTCAGCTCGTGCTTTCTCTTTTAGCCATTACAGGCAAGTAAAAGAGATTTGATTATCTTGTTTCCTGTGAAAGGTTATTTAGCTCCTCAATCCCATTAAGTCACTTTCTGCACTCCAGTGCACCCAGCCTTCACCAGGTTATCAGCCCAGGAAGAGTAAATGGAGACACCAGGATCAGATTTCTAAAGGAAGGAAAGTTAAAGCAAAGTTTGAAAGGGGTGACAGCCAACAGCCAGGAGCTTAGGAACTCAATTAGACTGAAAGACAACTATCTCATTATCTCATTCCGAAATGATCTAAATACATAAGAATCTAAAAGTTTTAAATAAACTTGTCCTACTGACTGTCTAGATGACTGAATTTCCCTTCTCAAAAAATTTTAAACACCCACTTTCGTATTTATTTATTCTAACTGCGAAGCAGCTGTGATAATTACGCTGTCAGCTTCAGTAAGCTAATGAGGAGTCAGTAGAATGGAAGGTTTTGCATCTGTGAGATTTCTGCAGAACCGCTCTGCTGCTTTTTTCCTTCTCTCTTTTTCTTTCTCTCTTCCTTTTTTTTTTTTTTTTCTTGCTCTTGTTTTCTTTTTCTATGAGTCGGGAAGGAGAGTCAGGCAGTCCATGACCAAATAGGAATCCCTTTGATTAACTGGTTGTTTTCCCAACACTGTTCCACCAGAGAATTTGTCTCTCTCTCCTTCCTGTCTCCCTCTTCTCCCTCTCTCCCTTCTTTCTCCCAATTCCCTCCTTTCTCTCTGCTTTCTTCCTTTCTTTTTTTTTCATATAAATATCTGTTTCCTTTTTTAAAATGTTTTATTTTTTGAGGGGGGAGGGGCAGAGAGAAGAGGGAGACAGGATCTTAAGCAGAGAGAGTCCTATGCAGGGCTTGAACTCATGAACCCATTTGATCATGACCTGAGCCGAAGTCAGATGCTAAACCAACTGAGCCACCCAGGTGCCCCTCTTTCTTCCCCTTCTGCCTTCCTCTTTTACTCTGCCTCTGATTCCTCCTCCTTCTTCCTCTTCTTCTCCCCTTCTTTGGCCTCCCTCACTTTTCCTTCTTTCCCTTTCTTCTCCTCCCCCTCCTTTTTTTACCTATTCCTCTCTCTCCCTCCTCCCTCCTTCCTGGCTTTTCAGGTGCTGCTGCTTTTGAAGGACAAGGAAGCCTGAGAGAAATCTTCATACCATTATCCCCAAGGCAAGGGGACACTTCTCTCTGAGGGAAATTCCCAAAGTGGTTTCATTTTGCGTTGATAAGAGAATAATCTGTGAAGTGTATACACTGTTTATTTTAGCTGTTTGTTTATGCTATCACATGAGCTAGAAAAAAAGTAGAATACAAAATTATGTATTATAATGTACCTGTGATAAATGTATCCTGTGTCCCAATGAAACTTGATGCCTCCCCTTTATAGCCTAGCAAATGTGTAATTCCAAACCCAAGCACTCAAGGCCACAGACTACTCATGACCTCGAAGGCAGATGTCTAGGCCAAGCGAGGCAGAGACGGCCCTGCAGATTCATTTCTTCTCTTTGGGTGTTAGCGGCCTCCGGCAAACAATATTATTGAGGCATCTTATGCTTTTGGTGTGCCAAAGCTAGAATCTTCTCTTCTTGTTAAGTTGTCAAGTATTTTTTTTTCCCTAAAGTTTATGTATTTATTTTGAGAGAGAGAGAGAGAGAGAGAGAGAGGGAGGGAGAGAGAGAAAGGGAAAGGGCAGGAGAGAGGGGGAGAGAGAGAGAGAATGAGTAGAGGAGGGGCAGAGAGAGAGGGGGACAGAAGATCCAAAGTGGAGTCTATGTTGACAGCAGCGAGCCCAATGTGGGGCTTGAACTCACGAATGGTGAGATTATGACCTAAGCAGAAGTCAGATGCTTAAATGACTGAGCCACCCAGGCGCCCCAAACTGTGTAATATTTAGAGCCACCCAGGTTTGCGTACATTGTCAGCCTAGGAAAAGTGATGCCCAATGAAAGGATGCCCTGAGTAGGTTTGTGGATGTGCTTTGGTAACAATGTGGCTATTGCCTCTTGCTATTTTTCCCAGATGCTATCTATGCTGATAGTCTGTAACAAAGGCTACTAGTTATTAAAAATATACTGTGTTATGCTTCCATAACAAATTGTCACAAACTTAGTAGTCTTATAACAACAAATGGTTATTAACTTATAGTTCTGTGTGTCAGAAGTCTTACAAGGGTTTTGCTGGGCTGAAATCACGGTGTGAGCATGGCTATAATTCCTTCTTCTAGGCTCTGTAGGAGACTCCCTGTACACTATCAGGAAAGGCTTTCTGCTTTTAAAGATCTTCTAGAATATCCTTATTAGAAAATCTAGGATATTCTCCCCATCTCAAGGAGCTTATAGATGACATTTTTGAAGCCCCATTTTTGTTGTAAATAACATTCACAGGTTTCAGAGATTAGGACATGAACATTTCTGGGAGGAGGTCAAGAGTGTATTATTCTGCTACTCCATCAGACATGCGTTTTGAAAATATTTTCTAATTGATGGTTTGTCTTTTCATTCTCTTAACATTTTAACAGTATCTTCCACAGAGTTTTTAGTTTTATAATGGGAAATTCCCAGCTAAGCCTAGCTATTCCTTTTAGTTTTCTAGAATTTGGTAAATCTTTTTTAAGTCCTTCACACCAGCCCATCCATAGCAACATATCAATGAGTGACCTCCGTTGATGCCACATGGAGTGGGGGATTGCCCAGCACAAACTCTGTCCAACTTCTTGTCTCACAAGATCATGAGTATAATAAAGTGATTATACTTTACAAAAAATAAAAAATAAATATTTTTTCTTGATATTGTGTATCAAGAACCCAAGATGTTTTGCATATATTATCTCCTTTAAACTTACAGCAACTTCTAGGAAGTTATATCATCCCCATTTTGCAGATGAGTCCTTTAAAATGTTTACTTTGGGAGAACTTGACCTATAACTTTAGTGTAATAAGCACATAGGAACCATACACACTTAACAAACACAGGCATTTATAAAAATGCAAACTCCCAGCATACTAAACTAACCCAATACATAAATCAGATGGCAAAGGCAGTGAGTGTGTGTGTGTATACATTATATATAATTTACAAAAGTTGTACCATAGAGTCTATTAAATAGATTGCCTGATGTAATGAATACACTAGGATTTTCCAAAATACAACTAGCCCCAGCATGATACTCATCACCTACCATCACTGGGACCCTTATCCAGACTCCTTGGCTTGATATTACTCCCTTCACCATCTGGTTCCAACTCATTTTTCCAACTTTATCTACTAGTCTGTCTTGCTCTAACCATTCAAGATTACTTTGCAGTTCTCTCAAACACTTTCCTTCCTCCCTGCCTTTGCTCATGCTGATCCCCAGCCAGCAATAGCCACCCTGGAATTCGCTACCTGCTCAAAATATAAACCTCCTTCATGGGCCCCCAGTGTGCTTGTCCATGCCTTTCCTGTGCTTCCTGGGAGATGTAGGAGAGCGACTGTCATAATTCTTTGTTTGCACCTCACTTTCAGTCCTTGTTTGTCAGTGTGTGTCTGTCCCCAGGTCTATTCCTGTTTTTGGATCAACAGGATAGCATAACACCTAGCATAACACCTTTCCCAAGTATTTTGGTAAATATATGTTGAACTGAATCAAATGAGAGGCATTTGGCAACTATTAGTAGATTCAGTAAAGCAAGTTATCCATGAGTCAGTATAAATTATTGGTGGGTAAGCCTGCCTCATGTTTTGATGTCTCTTCAGGTGAAAAATATTACAACAGACATAAAAAATACACCATGAAAGATTCCAGGAAATAATATGTTTGTGCTTTTCTCTTTTCCTTCCTACAGAGGAGTCTTTGTTTACAGTTTCAGGAATGAGGCTAAAGCCAGAAATGTGTGACCTTTTTGGTCTCCTACCAGGAAGGTCACCTCCCAGCCCAGTTTAGCAAATGTTGGTAAAAAGAGGGGGCAACATCACCAACCTCCTTTCAGGTAAGTGGTCCCAACAGTGAGCCTCCTTATGGGTGGGATTGAACAGTCATCACTGCCAGGTGGAGAGAACATTGTTCACAGATTCAGAGCACCACTGCTGTGTCTGGCTCTTTCTTCCCAGTCTAGGACAGGTGGCCTAGCCTCTTCTGGGCACATTGGGTCACAGGGAGGATGATAATGTGCATCTCCTGTCTCTCTCACTCCCAGAGGAATAGTAAGACTCCAAGACAAAACTGGCAAGTCATTATAAGGCCTTTAATTCCTAAAACAAAACTGGCAAGTCATTATAAGGCCTTTAACTGACACACACGGGGTAAAGTAGGACACTGTCATGTCTCATTCTCTCAACCATTAAGTTTTCTTCATCAGCTGATAGGACAAAATCAGAGGTTGGAAACCATCCCCATTGGCTCAAGACTGAGGAGTGTCCTGGGATGTGGGACATTCAATGCTAAAAATGGCACAGCCCTGGGTAAACCAGGATAGTTGGTCACCACAGTGGTAGAAATTACTACCTGGCCTGCCCCCAAATGCCAGAGAAGACCTGGTTCAGGGCCTGGGCCCATCCAGGAGATGGTTTTAGATTCCTATGCGAGCCATCCTTGCCCCAGGCCTCTTAGGCCACCCCTTCTGCACAGTTGATCACAGGGAGTTCTCTCATTCAGGGTGAGTTCTAGGAACAAGTTTCTGATTGGGAGCCATCCACAATGTCTCAGACACAGCTACTCTCTTCAGTCAACCCAGGGTAGCCCAGCCTTCCAAGGCAATCTTGAGGAGGAAGGGTACAATGGAGAATTTTTCTGGAATTACCATACCCTAAAAGGAGTTCTGCTGGTAGGCCCAGGAAGGCAGGTGAGACAACTGCAAAAGCCACCCGAGTAGAGACACCCCTAGATGTGACCAGAGCACTTCCCATACTGGGCCTTCTACAGTGGGTAGGGGGGACAATAATCCAGATAGAGAGATCAAGGTGGAGCCCATGCACAATGCCACCCAGTCACCTGGCTCTTTAGGTGACCCTAGCTATATCCCAAGCCACAAGCATTAGACTATGGTTTGACCACCCATTTGGAAACCACAGCTTGGCCATGCTTCCTGACAGAACTTTCAGGGCCTGGTGTGCTCCTCAGACCTGCCGGCTCATAATGTCATCCACAGAGCAGGGTTCAACTCTTTGCCACTTTCTCTTAGATCTCTTTTTGGCTGTTGGTATTTAAAGGCATGTAAAGATGTTTGCCTCCTGGATTTTCTAAGATCATTGCATTTAGAAATTTAGAAAGTTCCAAGGTATCTGGGTGGCTCAGTTGGTTAAGCGTCCAACTTCAGTTCAGGTCATAATTTTGTGGTTCACGAGTTCAAGCCCTGCATCTGAGTCTGTGATGACAGCTAGAGCCTGCTTCAGACTCTGTCTCCCCCTCTTCCCCTCCCACACTCACTCACTCTCTCTCTCTCAAAAATAAACTTTCTTTTAATTTTTAAGAAATTTGGAAAGATTAGAGAAATTTAGAATTATAGCTCTTCCTCAGAGCATTTTATAAAATATCCAAGTTTGTATTTTGACAGTACACAATTGGAATTAACAATAGGTAACACAATAATATGGTATTTCCCAAGCACAGTATTTTCTAAAACAGAGATTTTGCTATATATTTATGTCATTTCAAACCCACTAGTTATAAGAACAGGATGTACTTTAGCTACATTCTATAAAGTAAAGGATTTGCCCATCATAAAATTATCAAAGACATTGATAGAAATGGTCTTACATGGTGGTGTTCCATAAGTATTACTATTATTTCTGTTATTGTTATTTTATTTTACAAGCAGCCTGAAGGTAAGGAGGTAACCCTGCCTCTCTGATCTTCAATGACTTTCCACATAGGATTGTTACCTATAGATATAAAATGGTCACAATAGAAAGTCAATTAAATGCAGCACGTCGAACTTAGTGCCTGTGCCAGCAGTTGACAGGGGGAGGAGGCAGATTTAGCCTCAGTTGGAGTAATCTCATGATATCCCTAGGCCCTTGGTATTAATATAAGGAGATAAAACCGTAGGAGATGAACCACAATAGGGAAAATCTAGAGCAATTAAACTGTTTAATAAATGACTTGGGATCAGCAAAATCTGGGTGTGCTGGAGTTAAACTAACTAAAGGTAATCACATGGACACTTGCGGCCTGGAAATCTTTTCCACTAAATTGAATTTATGTTAAAATATTCACTTTTCAGAAGATCCAAAATGTAAATTGGGATATTAGGACCTGTAACTGGCAGTAATGTCTCAAAATTAAAACTCATATCCTCAAAATGTCAGTTTCAGGAATGGAAACAAAATGTATACTGATGTCTACAATAGAGAAATAGAAAGGAACTAAAATTTACTGGATATATTATTGTGTGCCATGCACTTTACATGTTTTATTTTCAAGCTTGGCATGTTTTGAACAGTGGAGTATGGTATATCTAGAGATCAATTTTTATTATTTTTAAAGCTTTTTTAGTTCTTATTACCAGGGGTAAGATAATGTCTCTGTTATAATTTATTATTATCGTTTCTATCAATATATGGAATTCCATCAATAACTTTGCATTAATGTTTAACACATTTTCCTTACTCAATCTGATTCATATCTTTTGATTTTGTTTATTCTTCATTCACTTCCAGGGCCACATTACTACTGTTTCCATTTTAATTTGCTTTACCTTACTAAGAAGCTTCAAACCTAACTCCACAATGGACCAGGGTTTTCATACTGTCACCTGTGATCTGGAATATTGCAAATGTGATGTCCAAAGCAACGGACATGATACTTGAAGAAAAAGCAATGAATGGTTATTGCTCTTGTCATATGCCTAGAATTTAACAGTGATTAGCTCAAAAATTAGACATAGAGTGAAAGAGTCTAAGAAGAGGATTTCTGAAAATTTTCAAATGTTTTGTTATTTGATAAAGAGATCCCTAGGCCAGAAGGGCTACAGGACAGATAAAAGGCTAACAATTAAAAGAATCTGGAGACTGAGCTGGTGCTTACAGAGGCCTGTCCCTCCTGCGTTCACTTACAATTTCCCCCAACAAAAGGACTTCTGTGGCAAGGGGAGGATTAGTCAAAAGTTTAGAAAAGTCTCGAGGAAGATGGTTTCTTGGATAAAGTTGTCAACAAAAGGACTTGGCTAAGACTCTTTGTTAAGATTTCCTAGGGGGTGCTTCTTTCTTCATTAACTGGATTATCAAAACAAACTACTACCCCACTCCAGCTAGATTTTAGAAGTTTAGATTGAGCTCCTAGTTAGATTTAAATTTTTGGCTATCTCCTTCTACTGAATCCCAGTTATCAGTGATGATAGCAAAAGCAATGAGGAACCTAAGCTCTGATTTGATGGTAGAGATATTGAACAGTAGGAACAAAGAATTCCAAAGATGGAATTCAAGCCCTATTACACCATCAGACATACACGCATGTGCTCACACACACAACCCCCAAATAAAATGAGAGATCTGTCTCAGCTGAAACATGTATCATTTTCTATAATGACTCCTTCTAAAACAAACCAGGGAAACTCAAATTACTTCATCTACATATCATCTACTCAGGAAGTGTAGTAGTCTAGAAACCAGAGACTTCTATGTATCCCTTTTAAAAAATGTTTTATTTATTTCTGAGAGAGAAAGAGACAGTGTGAGCAGGGGAGGGTCAGAGAGAGAGAGGGAGATACAGAATCTGAAACAGCCTCCAGGCTCTGAGCTGGCAGTCAGCACAGACCCCGACAAGGGGCTCGAACCCATGAACCGTGAGATTGTGACCTGAGCCGAAGTCAGATGCTCAACTGACTGAGCCACCCAGGCACCCCTTCTATGTATCCTTTAGAAGAACAAGGAAGAACTAATGAAGAAAGAATTTAAAAAATAATACCTATAGACTCAAAGTCTTCCCAAAGATGGGAAAAGGAAAAATGCATACAAATAACCCAAAGAAATCTACCTTAGTAAGTATTTGATTTTAGTAAGGTATGTGACAAAATCTCTCCAAACATACCTGAGAGATGAAACTGTGGGCTGGATTATGGGACAGATATATGTCTCAATGAATGGTGGTTTTTCAACCTAGATAAAAGTTAATAGTGGTATGGTACAAAGTACAGTCTTAAGTCCCATCCTGGCCAAATATTTGTATTAATTACCTGAATAAAGTCAGAGAAGGTCCACAATTTATTCATACAACTCACTGAAGTAGTTATAATTAATATATTACTTCCATTTTACCAAAGAGGAAACTAAGACTCAAAGAAGTTAAATGGTAGTATACCAGAGTTAAGCTACAAACCTCAGGTCTGGCTGTCTCCAATGTGTATGATCTTACCAGTAATCACATACCTATCAGATCTGGAGAATCTGATCTGTTCTCGAAGAAGCAGATGATATTTAGCACTGGATCATAATTCAAAAGACTAAGCCCTTGCTAAAAGCTAATGTGTATGTACCACTATATACCTATTAGGATGGCCAAGTTCCAGGACACTGACAACACCAGATACTAGCAGGGATGTGGGGCAACAGAGGAACTCGTGTTTGTTGCTGGTAAAAATGCAAACTAGTTCTTTGGAAGATAGTTGGGCAGTTTTTTACACAACTAAACATACTCTTACCATATGATCCAGCCACAGTGCTCCTTGGCATTTACACAATGGAAGTGAAAACATGTCCACACAAAAATCAACACAAAAGTGTTCATTCATAATCACCAAAACTTGGGCACAACCAAGATGTCTTCCAGTGAGTGAGTGGATAGATAAACTGTGGTACATCCAGACAAAAGAATATTATTCAACACTTTAAAAACAATGAACTATCAAGCCATGAAAAGACACGAAGGAGCCTTAACTGAATATTACTAAGAGAAAGAAGCCAATTTAAAAAAACTGCATATTACATGATTACAAGTGTATGACACTC